CACACACACACACACACACACACACACACACACATTATAACTATAAACATGCATTTCTTCCCTAGGTTTAAAAACCAAGGTCTACCCAAGCTCTGAAGTTCTAGTGAAAGTTAGTTCATTCTTGGTGTTAGATTTCAGAAATCATGAATGACCCCCCAGGACAACACAGAGAAAACACATTATTCCTTCCCCAGGAGCTAGAGCAGGCTTAGTATATTACAATGAAGTCTTTTGTCTGATATCAAATATTCACTTGTATTTTTTCAAATAAGCCAGAAAATAGGATGTTCCAGGATGTGCTCTGTCTACACTCTAACTTTAGAAATATGGCCCTGAGTATTTCTATTTATCACCCCACCACTCTGGTATTCACCCTTCAAAATCTCTTTTTAGAGGGAAAAGTATAGCAATAGGTGCTAGATCAGTCATGTTTCTAGAAATCTTCTTTCAGTATTCTCACCTCCAGCTCTGTCCATGCTAGAACTGTTCCTAGAGTTTCTTCCTGCCCCTGCCCCTCATCCTTTAGTTTTCTGTCTACCCCAGGCAGGCTCCTCTCCTCTCCAAGGTCTAGACCAGCTTCTTAGGTTCCTGTGTGTTTATCTAAGCAAGTCCATGTTACATTGTAACGGTGTGTTTTCTTGTTCCTCTCACTTTACACTGTGTGTACTGTGCAGCCCTGCAGCATGTACAACAGAATGTTCCACACACCAAGAGGGGAAAAGCCGCAGGGCTGTGCTTTCCCACTTTTTCCTTGTGTGTACTCCTTGGCTCTCCTTCAGTTGCCTCTTTCTGGTAGAAATTTCTTGCCTCTGTCATTTTTCTGCTTCGAGACTAGGCATTTAGCGACTGCCATGCTTCTGGCCACTGTTGAATCAAAGAGGGAAGGAAACTGAATCCAGCATTTGGAAGGAGATGCTTCCTTGCCGGCCAAGTTACTGAGCCAACGGGGACAACATTTCCACCCAAGCCTTCCAGTTCTTAGTTTGTGATTTTTTTAAAGAAAAGCTCTTACGTTGAAGAAAGTAAGCTGAATATCTACATGCCGGCTTTCACACTGAAAATTTATCCCAGTGTGAATTTGGCAGGTGTGTGTGTGCGGGGTGGGGGAAGGGAGTGGCTATATTTTCCCAAGTGTTGGTGGGTTCAAGAGTGAAAAAATAAATTGTAATGCAAATCAGTTGAAGTTACCTCATGGCCAAATGTACTCTGCTCATTTATTTTGACAAGCCCAGCTTATTTTTAATTATCAAGACTCATAGTACACTGGTAAATGTAAGAATAGTGACTTTGGCAGAAAATGAGAAATGTGTGTAACTTGAGCCTTCAGAATGAGTCCATACTGACTCCTTGTAAAATGGAGTGAGGCGATCCATTTTAAAAGGAATTTCAGTAAAGCGATTTATGTGATATGTGACTATGGTCACAAATCAATGAGCCTTTTATAAGCCAAGCACACCAGAATGTATACATTAAAAGGGAGTATGGTTTCTCAAAGAAATTTTGTTGGCCACTCTAAGCTTTTTCCAGTGATGCTGCCATTACCCAACAGATTTCTTTGGAAGTCTTCATTTGAAATGTTTTTTTTAGTCAGTTTTCTTTTCTAAACAACAACAACAGAAAAAAAGAAAAAAATCAAGATGTCACCTGAAAAATCATAGTACTGGGGAACAGGGAAATGTACTATTTTTAGTGGCTTAGCTACATTTTATGATCCCATTTGACTGTGTTACTTTGAGCTCTTTCCCAGGGGAATCTTCCCTTGAGGGAAATAGTGGGGCCATCTCTGAGGTCACTCATGAGAAGGTGACATGTTGTTGATAGACCCATCAGGGGCATGTGCCCCTAACATACACTTTAGTAGGCAATGGAGGGACTTCTGCTCTTGGCAGCTTATCAAAGTTCTGTGGAAGTTGGAAAAGCCTGTACATGGTTGCTGATTTTTTTACTTCATTCTTCATCTCTCCAAGCCAAGCATCAGTTTGGAGTTGGGGTAAGTTTCTCCCTATGCTTTGGGTGCATTCAAAGAAGAATCCAAGATGTCACCAGCAGCTTCCACGCAGCATATATTCCAGCATCTGACTCTGGTGTCCCGTGCTCAACTATTTTTCTTCTTTCCCTTCCTAATAGTTTTTCTACTCAAATTTAAAAAAATTCAAATTTTCAAATAAACCATTGAAAAATGTTTCCTTTACCTTTCTCTCCTACCCTGCCCCAGCCTAGCATCTTCTCTCCTCTCTTTAAAAAAAAAACAAAACACAGAACACACTTGCCTACATGGATAACAAACTGAAAATTGCCAATGCAGTGAAGATGAATTGAAAACAAACTGAGCTTGAAATGGGATGATTTCAATCAGTGGACAGTACTTAAGTCAGATCTTGAGAGATGTATGTTGTGGCGAGAGGCACTATAAGAAAAGAGAAAGCCCTCAGGAGACCTCAGAGAACCAGGGATAAGTGACTGCAGGTTGTAGGGCCAGGGCTGATGGTATGGGGGTGCAGTACAAATTTACAGATGACTAGGTCCCGGGATCTTGAAGGGGGCCCATGGCTAACTATGATAAGTGCAATAAAAATTTCATGGGAAGGATTTTAAGCTGAACTGCCCATTCTGGGGAGCCTGAAAATTATTTTTCACTCAGGCATAAACTCATCCTTGCCAGCCTGAGAAGGGGCAGCCCTCTTATCTCTGAGCTGCTGTTCTGGGTCAGATGGAGGATGGCTTGGGGTCTACCTGGGCTTGCCCTTGGCATGACTTCCCCTGACTTTTTTGCTCTCAGCAGTAAAATAGACTCATGTAAATCCACCACAAAGCAAAGAACCCTCCCATCTTTCGGTTAGAAGCGTAATCCCCACCTTGTAACATTATGTTTGTGAAGATTTTCTAAGAAAGAAAACAGACTCAGTGAAAGCACAAATTGTGACCCCCAGCAGTGGTTTATTTGCAAGAAATTTTGTTTTGTTGCTGTTGTGGTATAAGAATTTAAAACCATCTTAAAATACAAGTTTGGTCTTAGAATACAAATGAGGTCAACATTTTTGGCAGAAGACACCAAATGAAAAAGGTGGTAGTAATGATGGTGGTGATGATGGTACTCATTGTTTAATACTGAATTCCCTCTGAAGGTCAAACCCTTGAATACCCACAAGGTCAGGGCATTTGAGTGCATGACCCTCTGAGGCTTAGTCAAGATTAGGTAGGGCATGTGCCTTAGTAGAGCAACCACAGAGGGGATCTGGTAAAGTGGGGAGCGCAGACCTCATAGATAGGTGGGAGCAGCTACTGTTGGCATCATGGGGAAAGTGAACCGATGTTGCAGTAGCTTCAGATACTTTAAAGCAAAGCCAGAAATTCAGAATTTTATGTGAAATCTCCCAAGGTCTACAAGTTGGCAACTGATTTGATTTTTTTTTAAATACTATGAGGGCCAAACAAATCACATCTGTGTGCCAGACTTGACTCATGGGCCTCTGATGTGCCCTGTGTAGCTGAGCTTTCTGTTACAGCATACATGTCGGCAGTCAGAAATGGAGGTTGCTGGGTTTCCACTGCAGATTGGTGGGAGGTGGCAGAAGAGAAGGATGAGCAAATCCACAAGGGTCTAGCTTTTCTAGCTTAGTTTCCTCATCTTGTTTCATGACCCAACCTCACCTTACTGCCTCAGAAGGGGACTCAAAGCTGGCAATGATCTGTGAAAGGGCAGATGAAAAAGAGGGAGACAGTAATGACCTCAGGGACAACTGTGAACTCACCCCTGACCATGGAAACATGGTCAGGATTGGTGATCTGTGGGTATTTCTGCACATTTTTACTGGCAATGTAAATGCTCTCAAAGTGACACCTTGAAAGAAGCATCGAAACCAGACTACAGAAAGTGTGACATAGACAGCATAAGACATCATGAAGTGGATGGCTGTGTGTGGAGGCCTGCTAGGAAGCAAAGGAAAGCTCCTGGTGTCTTGGACCCTTAGTCTCAGTTGGATCATCCAACCCAGAATAACATGAGCAGGGACCCAGGTCTTCCACAATGGGCTGCAGCTATTGTAACTCTTATCTTCTGGCCTACAGAATGAAGAATTTAACTACCTTTCTTCAAGTGCAGACACAAAGACTTTCTGATTTAATGTCATATTATTACCCACTGGTTACATTCTGCTAGAATGACAAACCTAAAGTGGATAGGGCCCTGTCTCTCTATTGTCAGAGCATCTCAAACGGGTGTTCAGTGACTCTTTGCTAAGATGATTAGTTAAGGCATATTCATCTTCGTCTTATATTTAGCTTTGTATTTCCATTTATTTAAAGATCCACTTGGCCCTCAGCTCTGATATATGTTTCAATGCTTTGTTTTTTCATATTCTATGTTGCTGGTGATTATGAACGCATGGCTTGTTCATTTTGAGCTATTTTTTAAAGCTAAACAAATGGCACAATTATGTTAAACAAAAAATATTGTACCTTCAACTTATTACCTACCTTAATTTTCCATGTTTCTCCCCCTTCCCTTCCTGCAGGCATATGCCATTTTTTCGGTAGTTTTAATTGTAGTAGATAGAGTCCATCCAAGAAAGGATTAGCATGCAGCTCCCCTGTTTTGATTGTTTGTTTATTTGTACCATATCATCTTTGTGTTGTTCACCAAAGCACAGGAAGAGTCTGTAGATCAGCTAGTCATTGTGAAGGACAGATTTAGTGAAATGAAATTGGATTGGAAGAAAGTCTGTTAGCTGATGAGCTGAAATCCAGAAAGAGAAAGTTATTTTGAGTAATTCTCAAGTACAAATGTGTGTTTTCCTCTGAAAAGTTCTGTAAGGATTATAAGGAAAGTAATGTATTTTTATACCCAACTATTTGCTTGAGCACCTATTTTAGGATTTCTGTCAATAACAAAATTTCTGGCTTAAAATTATTTTCACAAATACAAATTTGATTTCCTTTTCTTTTAAAAACTTGTGATTTTTTAGCTGGGCATGTGGCACACGCCTGTAATCCCAGCAGCTTGGGAGGAGGATAGAGAGTTCAAAGCCAGCCTCAGCAACAGCAAGGTGTGCTAAGCAACTCAGTGAAACCCTGTCTCTAAATAAAATACAAAAAAACAGGCTGGGGATGTGTCTCAGTGGTTGAGTGTCCCTGAGTTCAATCCTCAGGATGCACCCCTCCCCCCCCAAAAAAAAAACCTTGTGATTTCAGAAGAACTTTATCCATTTATCATAAGTAGATTATCTCATCTGATCGTAAAAATAGCATTCTAATTTTTTCTTGGGACTCTTTACCTGCTATAAATAAAACTATGTAAAAAATGATGCATGTGTGTGAGAAAGGAAGGCAAGGAAACAGGAAAAATTAGGTGATAGGATGGGGAATGATTTTTTTTCTCTTTATTGTAATAACACAATTTACGTAGCTTAAAAGAGAGAAATAGCTCAGAATAAGAAGGCAATGCATTTAGAATAAAGAGTTTCCTTTTTTTAAAAAAAAAAACAAGCATTTTTGCACTTGATCTTGTATTCAGAAGCCCATTTTCATCAGCCTAGATGCACTTTCACTCTCCAGTAATGGCTCTTCTCTGTTCAGCAAGGAACACCTTGAGTAGAGAACTAAGAGAGAAAAATGGATCATTTCAAATACTCAAGTCTGGGTGTATAAGACAATTTTTATAATAAGAAAGACAAGTTGTGGGAAATATAATTTTCTTTCAGTAGCTGAGAATTGGTTTGGCAGAAGATAATTGCACACCAAGGCACTGCCAGGAGATCTATATTTCTGCTCTTGACATCTGTAGGTGCCACTGCCACTGCCGACGGTGATGATGATAAGTGATGGGAAGATGAAGTGAGAGGCGATGCGTCTTTCCTTGACAGGTTTAAAGGATTGCCATAGGCAGCCCCAAGGCAAGTGCTGACGGAGGACATTTTGGTGCCTGTGTCAGGTCACTCTGGCACAATCAGACAAAGCTGTTTAAGGCAGAGGGCTAGGCAAAAATTGTGTCTTCAATCTGATTTAGACTTAGAAGAAAGCTTCTTTCCTTTCTTTCTTTCCTTCCTTCCTTCATTCTTTCTCCCTCCCCACCCTCTTGCTTTTTTTAGCCTTTTAGAATTGTATGGGATGTTGTACCACAAATTATAAAACAGCTGTTACTCTAGATTAATTGATATCTTATACTTCTATGATTATGGTAGAGATCCTAGTATTTATTGCTCAATGCACAGAATCCAAGGATATGCCTTCAGGAAAAACATGAATATGGTTTTCCTAAGATTCCCAGGCTGGTTCCCTTTCTTTGAATCCCATACGTGCACCCAGGGTATGGTGAGAGCAGAGTGTGTATTGGAATGAATCCTAATATTGATCATAGGGGAATATTCTGACCCATGTTATTGCTCTGGCAAAGGCAAGCAAGCACAAATCAGGTAAAGCAAAGAATTATGGCTGCTCTCTGGGGAGGAGCTGTGCTCCTGCTTCTGGAAAGCCCAGTGAGGGGCTTTGGAGAGGGGAAATATACTCTGAATATACTCTGGAAATATACTAGCACCTGATTATCTTTCAATTTCATGTTTGTTTAAATACAGATAATATTTTTAGCTATAAACAGCTAACATTTTTGCCTTTCTTTTTTATTTCTGTCTTGGCCAGGAAATCATAAGTATTTGATCTTACTCAAAATGTGCAAAGAAGAATAATGGAAGCCCCTGAATATCTTGATTTGGATGAAATTGACTTCAGTGATGACATATCTGTAAGTATTACTTCTTTTAAAAAAGTGTTACTTCTTGTAAACAATGCTTTCAAGATCTTCTGCCCTCAAATTCATACTTTATTGTCATCTGTTTATTAGCAACTCTTAGGACTACATTTAGAAATTGAAAGCAGGAACTCTGTGTGGTAGACAAAGTGTGGTTTGAGGGTCTCTGGACCAAGAAGTGAACCCCATCTAATTATGTGCAAGCTTAGAAGGGCAAGGCACTTAACTCATTGAGCCTCCCATTCCTAATCTGTTCCAGTGTTGTCAAAATTATTGATTGTCTGAGTATGCACATAATCAACTTTATGAATTTTAATTCTCAGTTTTCTTATATATCTGGCTACTCCATGCCAGAATTCTCCACAGTTCATAACAACACAGATTGAAGCCAAATTGACATTTATTAATTGATAAAAAATAAAGGGAATTTTTCCAATCACTGTAGGTATCAAAGCACAAACTGGACACTGGTTTGGGAATTTTCAGGAAGAGTCATGCATTGATAAGAACTGGACAAGCTGGCCTTGAGGTTCTACTTAATTCTGTAATACTGTGGCTGAGGAGTCTTTAAGTTCCTATAACACTTACAAGCTTTCTGCTTCTTCCAGGTTCACTCAGGGCTGCTCTGAGTGAATTGTCTACATGTGCCTTGCTTAGAGCTCCATGTGACTTATCCTTGGCCACCCAGTCAGTTCGGCCACACCCACAGACATCTTGGCATCTAGTGCCCCAGAAACATTGGGCTCTCAAGTCTGTGGTGGGACCTTGCTGTTTCTGAGCTAGACATAAAACTTTTCTTTCCAGGAGCTCACAATATCTGACTTCATCATCTGTTGATCTCTCATGGTCCAAAACTTTAGGTCACCCCTGGAAATTGTTTGGAAATGATGAGCTTACTTTACCGCACCTCTTGCAACAGTTTTATTCCTCTGTTTTACTCATTACCTTGAAGTAAAATATGCATACTATACACCAGATTTAGATTCCTGAGATGAATTTGATGAATCACCTGTTTTATATAATCTGATGATTCTTCTTTATTATTGTATCAGAAAAATGTTAATTCAACCTTTCCTATTTTAGCTTTCGACAGTTTTAATTGATCCTCATTCAAATTTAATGGGAGTGAGTTTCCTTCTTCCCAGATATCTGTCTGTTATCTGTGGTTGGTCTCTCAATTACTTGAAAGTGTTCAGAGAATGGTTGTTTTATAACCACTCCCTTCAAGGTATTTTGATTTGAGTGGTGAAAGAGCAAGGAAAATGATGAAAACTATGGGCTTATGTGGGAAGGACGGAAAGTGTTGTAGAAAAGGAAACTTGTGTTATGATTAAGAATTAGAAGATAGCTCGCTTGATTGGATAATAAGATTGTGGTGGTGGCGCAAGCCTGTGACTCTGGAGACTGAGGCAGGAAGATTGCTAGTTTGAGCCCAGCCTCAGCAACTTAGCAAGGCCTTATGCATCTTAGTGAGATCCTGTCTTAAAAGAAAAACTAAAAGGAGGTGGGAATGTGGCTCAGTAGTTAAGTCTTCCTGGGTTCAAATACTGATATTAAAAAAAAAAAGGAAAGAAAGAAAAATGAGGACAAAGGCTTTGAAGGCAGCCAGCCTAGGTTCCTATCTTGTTCTAACTTTTGCTGGCTGGATGATTTGGAGCACATTAACTTCACCTCTCTGAGATTCTCACCTAACTTTTAAGATTGTTTTGAGGACTGGGTGAAATAGTAATGTATGTGAAACACTTAGCTTGGCACATGGCAAATTACTCTTAAAAATGGTAGCTTTTGTTATTATTTCAGTGAATAACACAATAATATTTATATGACCAATGGTGAAGAAAGAACTCAAGGGAAAAGACCAGGCAGGCTGTCAAGATTTTTTTTTTTTTTTAAACACAACAGAGCAGTTGTATTTACAGAGGAATCATCTGGCAGCAGCCCATAATTTTGATGAATTAGGAAGCTCTACTTGAAAGATAAAATATGCTAAGCAATAACTAAAACTGTTTAGCAAATTAGGCTGCAAGATTATGCAATAGTTGAGTTTCTATAACTCGATCACTCTGAAACATAAATAAAAATGTCCATCTGTAATAGTGTAACCCCACCCAGACTTCCCCCTTTAAATGTTTCTTTCATTTGGATATTTAACCTCCAGTTAAGCTTGAATCAAGTTTGCAAGTACATAGAATTGATGAAGCAATAATAATGCCTGGTGTTTATTGAGCTGACTGTAGGACAGGCATTATCTCCTTCAATCCTCACAGCAGTCCTATGAAGGAGGTGCTCTTATCATCTCCATCTGACAGAGGAGGAAGGAAGCATGGAGATCTGATATACCTTGTTGAATGCCCCCCACCTAGTCAGGAGCATCTGTCTCCAGAATATTCACTTGCAGTTATAACACTTGACTGGCTCTACAAGATGAGTGTGGTTTAACACAGTGTTTCACATCAGGGAATTTTTACTTCCCTCCCCACCCCACCCCAAGAATATTTGGCAATACCTGGCACGTTTTTTATTGTCATACTGGGGAAATACTACTGGCATCTAATGGGTAGAGAGACCAGGGAGGTTTAGAAACTTCCCCTGTTGGTAGTAGACAATCCCCTACAAGGAAGAATTACCCAACCCAAAATGTTGGTAGTACTGAGGATACTGATCTATGTTAATCCCCTTGGAAGTGGGCAAGCTCTTCTTTGATTTTACAACATAGAAGATTATTTTAATATAATTCAGTGCATCTCAGTTTAATGCCTTGAGTATGCCAGAATTGTACTGTTCTTATGCAGTGATTTCATGGAAAAAAGAGCAGATATAATCTCATAAATATTGAAATGATTGTTAGCCTATTTAGGTAAACTAGGAGCAGTGAATGTTACAGCTGCTTTCAGGGTAAATGGAAATTATTCAAATGCTAAAATTGAAAAAAAAATGAAAATATTTTCAGTGTGCTAAGTTATTGGCATAAAAAGAAATGTCATTTCCCATGAACATGCTTTTATTTTTAGGATTCCATAAACCTTCATCTCTCAGGGCCCTTTTGCCACTTTCCTGTTTAAATGGTAGGAGTGGGGAGGAAAACGCACATTACATTTGAAAAAGATGTTTACAAAAATCATGTTGGAGTTGAAAACTCCTCTTCTGAGTCTCCAGCCATAGCCCTATTACGTAGTTTAGGCTTTGTGTTTCATGGTTTTCCCCTCTGGTCATGAGCCTGGTTCTTGTTTTAATTAAAGCACAAGCTGTATATTGGTTTAAAAAACAACTAGTTTTTTTTTTCCTTTACCTAATGAGACAAAACACAGAAGGCAACAAAATTATTTTGAAGTTTCCCAGACTCAAAAATAATGCACATCCTTTGCAAAATGCAGACTTTAAACTATACATTCTTGTAACTCTGCCATCAAAAAGGGCAGAACGTTGTGCAATAAATGCGAATCTGTGAGAGAGAGGTGATGACACACATAAACACAAGGTTCAAAGCAGGGCTTTTCTGTCACTGCAAATGGGTTTACAGATTTCTTTCTTTTTTCCTCTGGGAGCCAGATCCCTCCAGAATTAAAACAAAAACAAAAACCCTCTGGAATTCTTAGGAGCCATGGCATGTTTATTTTATTAAGAAGGGCCAACTTGCTGTTCTTAAAAATAGTATCATATCCAAGACTGAATGCAGCAGACACTGCACTGGGGATCTGTTGAAGCCACCACCCATCATCACTCGCCCACTATGCCACACACTGAGCTCAACTCTTTAGGTCAGTTACGTTCTTCAGGCCTCACATTCCCTCTGGGGGACAGGCTCTTCTTTCATCCCATTTTATAGATGAGAAAGTTGAGGCTTGCAGAGGTGGTGTGATCTTCACAGGTTACAGATGGGCAAGTGGCAGGATCAGGACTTACATACAGAACTGTTGACACATTACTTTTCCCTCTGAGCAACTTGGTTGAATGGAGGGTGTCCCTAAGACCAGTCACTTCATCCATCACTATCCCCATTTGGCACTGAAGTGATTACAGATTGCTTCTGGGTAGTGAGGGAGTTAGTATATATTATAAATGAATAAAATGAAACCAGCTAAAGGGAACTTAAGCAAATCTTTTAATTTTACTGTATTTCAAGTTGCCCTTCTATAAAACGATAATGATTATCTTTATTTATCACCTTGGATTTTATGGGTAAAAACTTGAAAATTCATATATATTACATAAGCACACACTCATATATACATAACTATATATACCTGTACATATGCATACACATATACATACAGCCACATGTGTGCACATGTTAATATAGATACATACATAAGTACACATACAAATAAAAGTGATTAAAATAATCTTTTCCTCTTTGCAAGAACTTTTGTTACCTTTCTGTATCATTCTGACTGAAACTTTGGTAAAAATTTACCTTTTTTTGTTAATTGCTGAAACTATTTTTTGTGGAAGTCATATGAGATTAAGATAGAGAAATGTGTGTCCTTCCTCTTTACTATCCCTTTTGATCCAAGTCATTGTAACCTAGAGCAAGCACATAAAATTTTGTTGATTCATTTTCTGAGGTGCTTGAATTACTGTCTGATGGAAAAATAAAAATTCTTAGGTCAAAACTAATCTCATTTTAGAGAACTTTTACATTCTGATGGGGGAAAAAAAAGATTCCTTGTAGTCTGGGCATCATTGTCACTGAGCTACCTAGCCCTCTTTTGATTTTTTTGCATACCACTTTTTACTCAATTCAGTCCTGACATTTGCCCCAGTTTTGTTACATTTCAGCAAAGACCCATTTCACAGCAGAGGGAGACCTTGAGAAAGAGGGTAGAGAACCCCTCAAGGGGACATCAACCATGAGTTGGAGTGTGTAAAGGATACATGAGTTTAGGTATGGAACAGAGTAGAAAGATATTCAAGATACAAACAACCTGGCTTGCCCTTCTACTCTAGCAAGGAGAGCCCATGATCAGTCAGGCAGCAGAACATCCTGAGGTGGC